CATGGATAATTAAAAAAAAAAAAGCATTCAGAAAGCTTCAGAAATACAGGTAGTCCCTGGTTTAAGAACACCTGGATTATAGATGACCCATAGTTAAGAACAGAGCCTATTGTAGCAAAATTTGAGTTAAATACACAATGATTTGAGTTAATTACACAATACTACTTATATAGCATTATACAATAATATTGTTCTGGCTGACATACAAATTTGACTTAAGGATTAGACCTTGGGAACAGAATTTGTTCTTAAACTGGGGACTACCTATATAAATAAGGGATAACTTCATAAGGAGAGCAGAATCTCTTATTACTCTTTAAAAATGTTCATTACTGTATTTCCCAGGAGTGTCAAAACACTGGGAAGAGTGGGATGCAAAGTATTAGCCAAGTAAACCTCATTGACTATATTACCTTGTCTGTTTGGTATGTCTGGGAATTATAGAATGGGTTTAAGATTGATCTTTAAATTTAAGGTAATCAATAAACCAACAGAGAGAGTTGTACCCCCTCAGGAAGAAGAAATTGCCAATTCTGAAAATACAGGTGAGAGTTCTAAATTATATCAATATAATACATTTTAGGCAAATGTAACTAGAAGTATAAATCCCCAGGCCTAACTAGCATTCTTTACAGACAAAGGTTGCAGTCTTCAACATTCTGAAACAGACAAGATCAGTGCAATATTCCCATGCAATTAATGACATGAAAGATCTGCAGCTTTGACCGCTAGAACTATTTTTAAGGGTGCTTTTGTTTCAGAAGGTTTGGGTTATATTTAAAAACCTTTCCCCCCTGCTTCTCACATATACCTTAAATCTGAGGGCCCAATGTTCAAAATCCAGTTCAACTGAAATGCTTGGACATGACCAAATGATAGCTTTACGCAATCATAATCTTGTGAAACTGAACAGAATTCCTAATATGATGGGGAGAAAGGAGCAATCATACAGTGCAAAAGGCACTCCTACTGAATTGAATATGGCTGTTTCCTTGTTTGCAGTTCACATCAGACCAGACCATCTTGCCAATCCCATTGTTCCCCTTTGATCACACAATGCTGGCCTTATCTCAGATGTTTCCTCTCCTTTTGTTCCTGAAGAGAATGACTTTTCCTGGCTTAAGCCCAAAGGATCCCACTGCAACCAGAAAGGTGGGGAAAAAGAAACATTCTGCTTCACTACCCGTTTCTGGGCAGGTGAGGTCAGATGACCTGTTGCAGGGGCATGACTTGACCTGCAAGAGTCACAGGCAGAGGAGGGAGAATAGCAGCCAGGGCATTGGCCAGACAATGACCAATCACTGGCCTGAAAATATTGGCCTCCAGTCCATGAGAACAAGATGTTTGCTTCTAAAGGCCACAAGCCATACAACCCAATTAATGGCACTTATTCTTTTACTTAGAGCCAATTTGGTGCAGTGGTTAAAGGCATTAGGCTAGATGAGAATTCTAGTCCTGCCTTAGGCACAAAGCCAACTGGGTGACTTTGGGCCAGTCACTTTCTCAGCCTTAGGAAGGAGGCAATGACAAAACACTTATGAAAAATGTTACCAGGAATTAAGATAACGTCACCAAAACCAAAACAAAACAAAATTCACTGCCAGAGTGAGGGCTGGGTGGCATCTGTAATTGCTACTGAGAAAAGGCCACATGGTGTGACTGTAGCTTCATAATAGCCAGCCAGTGAGCAGGAGAGCCATTAGTGCTTCTGATGAGAACCGTGGAAGTCCAGGTTCAAATTCCCATTCGGTCCTAAATCTTACTGAGTGATTTGTTCCAATTGGCCCCTTCTCCTAAGCTATGACACGTGTTCTGGGAACAAAATAGCAATTGCAGAGTAGATTCCTGCCCAGCTTCTTTGAAGAAAGGCAGGAGATACAAGTAATAAGAATACCA